GAAAAAAATTCTCTGAAAAATTGAAAGGGGAATCTTTGAAAATGCTCCTACAAATTAGTATCATATCCAAGGAAATTTGGCAACGTCGCACGGTTCATACGGCGTTCTTCCTTAGCACGGCAGAGTTGTTCCCGTAGACAAGTCTTGAGACACTACGGTACATTGGCCGCCGGAGGTTTAAATGCAAATGTATCTCGCATGAGATGAGTTAATTGGATTACATTTTGCAGTTAGGAACTGAAATTTCTGGCTCAGATTAAAAAGTATGTACCATTCATTTCCCTATCGATTTATAAGTTTTTGCAAATGAGCCAGAAATTGTAGTTCCTGATTTTTTTGAGTCGAATCTTTTACTGCGAATTTGCACACGTTTGACTACCTGGAAGCCAGTATTTTGCACAGATGACTTATTGCCGATTTTTTTTCAGAATTTTTGACACATTTTTGACTCTCTGCACTGTCCGGAACATTAGATACATGGTATTTCTACCTTGGTTTGTTTGACGTTATGTTCTGAAGAGGTGCCTATACTACTATTTAGCCGTTCGAATTAAAAAAAAAAAAAAATCTTGTAACCACACGTAAATCACACTTCATGTGAATCACTTTCCATTAATTCCAAGAAGTTACCATCATTTTCCATCTGAAATTAACCGGCACGACCATCATCTAAAACACTTTCGGTGGACATTCTTGAGTTCGAAACGACTTACGTTCCGGAGTTTGCTGGTTTTATAAGGTGACGTTGAATCGATTTTAATTGATGAAGTAACTGGTTGCTATCCATCACCGATTTTATTTGGAGACGACAGAAGACGGATTCGTGCTGCTTTTCGTTCTCCCTTTCTCCATCTTCCGATCCCGAGCAAACGTAATCGCTCTACGATTAGCTTCGTACTTGCCTCTCCGCTTATTGTTCCTCGAAAGTATCAGCATGGTAGCACAGCATGCCTTAAATACTTTCATAACCTATTCGGTTCGACTTTTGTTTACTTTTTTCACTTTTGTTTTCTGGCATTTTTTGTTTTTCGCCTATCATTGCAAATGCAAGTTGTACTCATCGTTTCAATGTTGCCGATATTAAATTAAACGCTTGAATTTTATTCAATAATATTTACTTCCTCAGGGACTTTATGCAACTACATGATTGTAAAGATAGGAATGGGTTCTTCACATTCGCAGTCCTCCCTCTATTTTTACAGATGTAATTTTTTTTAGAGAAAAGGAACTATTTGATGAGTTAAATTTTTGCTGTAGCTTAATCTAAAATTGAATTTTCATCTGCCCAAAATGCAATGATATGGAATGATATCTCAAGCAAAAACATTAGTTTTAATATCCATGTGTCACAAAAATAAAGAAAAAAACACTTTCATATCACGAGCTTGTTACGTGTTTGTACCAGAGTAATAAAAATCAACATTGAGCCCATACCCTCATTTACATTAAATATTTAACTTTACCAAAATCACAGCAAGCAGGAAATGATGTATTCATCTGATATATAAATTTAAAAAAGTGCATATCAAAATGTCATTTGTACCTGTGAATTAAATAATTTTCAAGGACAGGTGAACCTCAATTTTTCTAGCTTTTGGAGGGAGACTAGATTGAAAAATTGAACATCCTATTCTCACATTAGGGACGACAACATTCAGCTTATTAGTCTTTACGGACAAGGGATCCAGTGCATGACTCTTTAAAGGACACTCAAAAATATTCAATTTAAGGTCGTTTTTTTGTGTAAAATAATTGTATGATAGAAGGTCAAAGGCAAATACATAAGTATCATTTGACCGCTAAAAAAAACTTATGAAACATAGAGAACATATTTGCGTTAAAAAAAATATAAAATTTTAACTTCGCTCCAAATTTTCTCAAAATCACAAACAACGCACTTAGCAGGTTCTTGAATTGGACCATTGAGTTTCATGTTTGAATAACGTTGATACTTCACTGCCATTATTTGCTCGACAAGGTACGGTGACGAAATGGAGAGCTTTTGCAAATTGGAACCGGAAATTAGCTCTGATCACGAATAATTCGACATCGTATTCCCGGATGTCCAACGAGCCAACTGTTTTAGGATGTGTAATTTTGAATGAAATAGGAGAGTAGTTTTACTCGAGGACTTCATACTGTCGTCTAATATTTTGAGATGCGGAAATTTATTCAATGAGACGTCCGGAGAGGAAGTCCTTCCCTTCGTAGTATTTTTTCGTGATAACCTTTTTCAATAGTAACTCGCAGATATTATGAGCTGCATCATCAAATTTGTATCGTATGCAGGAATATATTCAAAGAAACCAGGTACCTTTAGATTTCAAATGGACTAAAATACCGATCTTTTCATACCCATTTTTGTACCCCCATACCACAGCACGTGTGAGAATGACGAAAGTATTGACCTTGCCGACTATTTGACACCATCAAATTCTGAAGATTAGCAAATTGCTAAGTAATCCCGCGCATAAAGATTCTCTGATACGCAGCATCCTCTTCGTATGAAATTGCAAAATGTTGCCTCTGGAGTATTTCAATGATGCACGCGTACAGTAATTTTTTGGTGCGAATCACTCTAGTGGAAACAAGCTGTGTGAAAAAATTCGCCAAACGGTAATTTCTTGCATCAAAATTGAATACCATCAGCGGAAGATTAATTAAATCCATTTATTGCGCTAAAGATCCACCATCCGTGGCGGTGTATCTGAGTATTACAACTCTCTTCAAAGAAACAAAAAATTATGTTGCTCATCCTCCGTTCTATTTAAAATTGACCAATTTTCTTTTTCACTTTTTTTCCCATTAAATAAAGACCTCGTGGCTTCGTCGTTGAGCTGCACGCGCTAAGAGGTCTATACGTTTCATGTAAAACCAAGTCATTCCCCAACTATTACATTACTGGAAAAGAATTAAACGATGTCAATGTTAAAATGTGATGCCCGGAAACTGTGGGGAAAAATAAATTATATAAATGCATATTCAAAGCTGCGTTTGGAAAATTCGGACAAATATTATTTGTACGTAGTGAGTGTGGTTAAGAGCATGATGCACAGATTATTTCGTGCGAATGTGCGATACGCACTGTAGATCTCTTCCTGTGAAAAGTCTTAGCTATCTTTCCCTACCTTTCGGTGATAAAGGCCGCTCCGATCATGAGCCTCACATCAAACTAAGCATTCAACAGCTAATTTCACTATTCACAAATAGAAAAAATGTGATAATTAGATCAAGGTCAACAGGCCTATGGACAATGTGTGCATTAACAGGTTTCCTCGGTTTCCTTGTCACATTTCTCAAAGGATTATTAGAGTTTTTGGGTGGACTTTCACGATTTTGTCGAAACGGAGCGGCAATGCACTCGTATTTAAATCTGAAGATTAATGATCGAATTCGTCGCCTACGAAAACTCACTTCGTTCAACATATTCGAGGAACTAGTTGAGAAATAAACATTAAAAGGCGATGTTGGGAAGCAGCTCGAATGTTGAATGGGAAAGCATATCGAACATGAAAATCCTTTTGAAGTTAATAACCTGTTGCACTTTGGGCGAGAATTAATATAAATTCTCTCCGTAGCTTACGCGCTTCTTATTAGGTAATCTAGGCTTTTTAATACACTGATGCCAAAGTTTCTGACTCCGTTGTCAGTGGTATCCGCTCCAGTGGTATAAAGTTTACGGACATTTCATGAATATTCACAGACACTGATAGAAGTATGATTCTTAATTGAAGAGGGCGATACTCTAATTACAGCGGACGTTTCATGTACTACATTTGTAAAAATGTATTCAAAAATAGTTTTTAATTGAATAGAACAAATGCACTCGTCGCATAAAATATTTAAAACATTAATTAGTAAAGGTAGCAAGATACGTCCAAGCTCTTAATTTTTGAGTCCGGAGTCCCTCTGTGAAAAACACGTGGTTTACGTCATACATTAACAATTATTTATCAATATACCATTAATAAGCAATAAAAAAAAAACCATTAATGGTGCATTAAATGCACCTGTGACTCTTCGTGCATTACGGGTAGGACCAACATGAAAATACATCGTATGCATCAGAGGATGACGTTATCCATCGTATTTTGCCTCAGACAAAATGTCTCCCTCGATGTTAACTGTAAAGATTCGTGTCCAGAAAAAATGAAGCATCTTTCGCTTTGGATTAGTTCAATTATCATTCAATTACGTAGCTTGCATGGCTAATCCATTTTTCTGGATTTTCCACGGATTTCACCTGAATTGGCCTATACCTCGCTACATTGCTTCATTTTTCTAAATAAATAACATTGATTTGGAACTTTGTGAAAAAATTATTTATAATCCATGCGCTGGAAAAAAACACATTGGATCTAGAGTCTAGACTCTTAAAAACATCGACAAGAAAAAGTACTCTTGATTCAATCAGATTTAAGCTTAAATCAAGAACCCAGCCTCTTAATTTGAGCGGATTTCCTTTTGATGTAAGCTTAAATCTGATTGAATCAAGAGTCCTTTTTCTTGTCAATGTTTTCAAGAGTCTGGACTCTAGATCCAATGTGGTTTTTTTTCCAGTGATCCATGGGAATCTCACTAAATATTTTTGGCGTTATTTTGTTTATTTGGGAGGGGGCAATTTGCTATTTGCGTGATGACATTTCACCCTGGCAAAGGTCCTGCTTTCAAATTCAAATTTGATAACGATCTCAATCTTACCACTACGCCCGAAGAGAGAGGGAAAGCGAAAATAACCAAGTCAGGTTCTCGGATCGTTAGAGGGGGAAGGAAGCGTGTGTTTCCTCATCTGGAGGCCCGAAAGTACGCTCAAAAACGGGAAAACCTAACCTTAAATTACATGTAAAGTTTCCTGATGAGAGGACGGGTTGGGGCCGGGGGGCGGGGGCGAGGGAGGGAGACTGGCCGTGTGGTACAGTGCTCCAGTAAGCGGGTCTCCTAGTGAATGTGCAGAAAAATCGGGCGAGCGATTTGGCCGGATTTATTCGAGTGGTCGCAATCACGCGAGCAGTATCTCACCATCCATCATCCGGAGTGGCCCTCGACCCGCCACCGTTGACGCATCTCGACCCAGTCGCGCGCCTCATCTCGAGCTGATTCCCATCCGCGGTTAGCAGCCCCGTTTTTTTCAAATTCAATATTTTTTTCCAGTCCCCGAAGTCGAATTTCGAAATTTCCGTCTTTTTTCGTCGCGGTTAGCAGCCCCGTTTTTTTCAAATTCGACATTTTTTCCAGCCCCCGAAGTCGAATTTCGAAATTTCCGTCTTTTTTCGTCGCGCTTCGCAAGTTCCAGTCCCTTTTTCTGTAAGGTCCTAGATTCGCTCGTACGTTACTCTTTTACCTTCATGGGGTTTTTTTCGGATCGAGTTTTTGAAAATCGACCGTCGAAATTGGTTTTACTTTTTTGAAAATTTTATCGCGACGCGATGAGGATGCGCGGATTGGAAACGCTCACAAGTGCTGCTCATATTTATTGATTTTGGATCGTCGAGGAAATATTCCAGCCTTTTCGATTGCTCCTCTTAGCTAGATTTTTCACGAGTCCCTCGTATATAGTCTTACTGGTAAGCATGATAATTTACCTCACTTACAGCTTTCTATTATTCTGATAAGGTTATCCATATTCGTAGAAAATTATGTTTATCTTTTGGTATCATGTCATCTTTTTCAGAGCAACGAATAGTATTTTAAAAGGTATGCAATCATATTTTGATAATTTACTCTTGTTTTCTCTCGCATCCCCCTTCTCCTTTTTTCTTACATACATGAATCGGTTAAAAGGTTTTAAAAGGTTTATCGTAACACTGAAATGTAGAAACAATAAAAAGTTCCGCATCGGGAAAGTTGTACACTGCTACCGCACTGTATGTACCACACTGGAACTACATTTTGTAGTTATGCTCCAAAACGAGCTATTTCTTATGGCTCATTACAGAAAAAAACATACGCGCCATTAGATTTTCCATGTGAATGGATGCTTTTGTGGCTGAACTAGAAAACGTGGCTCTTCATTGAAGTCATCGGATAAACATTGCGTGCGACCTATACAAGCATCATTGAGAGCATAAAGTTGGCCAAAGTTGGCTGATCAGTTAAAGATTGACCAAAAATCAAATTTAAATTTCGTTTCAAGTGTAGAAAGTGTACCGAGACGCAGTAAACCTGTAGAATGTGTGCAATGAACCTAACGGTAGGTCGACTAATAGTCACTTTTCTGAATATCTCATTAACAGCGGATCAGACACTGAGGAAACATCATTAGTTGCGTACTCTAAGCCTCTACATTTTCGTCTTACTGCATCGTAAAAGTATACCTCCATGGGATACACGTGTGATAAACTTCAGCGGAAGTAAATTTTTCCTATTCTATTACTACTTATGTGGTACTCTTTCTGGTGGCGTGTCTCAGGTATTACAAATGGAAAGATTATAGAAATTTGTAATAGTATATACACAAATTTTACTAACATCGTATGAAAGAGCATCAGTTCTCGAATCATTGTTGCTGCTCCCTTTTGTTGTTTTAGGCAGTCAATGGACCACTAGAGAAAGTACGAATCTGAGAACCATCCGCGTATGGTTTTCAAGTCGAATCCCTGAACAATTGAGCATTCAGTCGAGTGGAAGTATTTGGTAAATATCGCCATACCTATTACTTTAATTTTTACACGAGTAAATTTTGATCTAAACTACGGTAAAGAAACCCCGCGTGAAGCAACCATCGTCAAAAAATACAAATCAGAATCTACATCAAATCGTGTTAGGTGAGCAAATTAATATTGATTTAAGTCCCTATACTACATATTTTGGAACAAAAATCAAATATCAAAAACAGTATTTACCCATAACTATAACATAACTTTCTATTTCACTTCAATGGAAAATAAATTAAATTTTAAATACATATTTTCTTAGTAAAACATTGTATCAACATGCCGGCGTAAAAAATAAGAGGAATTTACAAAACCTTATTGTTTTAACCGTTGTAATCACTGAAGTACAGATGCTTCTTCCCTTCGACTTATTTACTTCCGCACAGACTGCATCCCCTCAGTTAATTCAATTCGTTTTCGTATTCAGCGTCACAAAAACGTTTGCATTTAAGATGGATGAATGCAAAATTGTTGCAACAGTTTTTTCGGGCCTATCGCAGAAACTTTTTCGACGTGACTGACCGTGAACCTGGTGCATTAATCATGAATAATTTAATTCAGACCATTGAATAATCATTGAATAATTTAACGCTATTACCGGCTCTGGTGCTAGCACCTAGAGCTGCTATTCCGGTCGGTCTTTGCAGTGGATGTTACCAATGGTACATCTACCATTGGTTAGAGCGTGCGTTGGTAGATGGGAATCGTCGCCATTTTCGGCTGTGGACCTGGCCATGATTTTATTTTAATTCATTGTTTTTTCTTGTGAGCGAATGATATGTTGTGTAGTGTATTTTTGGAATCATGGTGATACTGTCGATAATTCAAAAATGGTCTGTGCTTTAATCTCGTATTGAAAAAAATGTACGTAACGTTTCAAATCTGAATTTTCAAAACGACAAGTTTTCGCGCTTTTTTGGAAGAATGCCGTGGTTGGAGCCTCCTAGTCGTATTACTTCATGGACGGATTCGTCCCTAGCGGCGTTGTTGTGTATTAGAGCCTAAAATGCTAAGTCGGGTCCTGTTCACTTGATAAACGTTAACACCACTTTAACACCACGCGCTGCGATGTGCGCTGGAGTTACTGCTTGTTATAGCTTCCGGCGAACTTTACACACGCGCAAGAATGTGGCTGTGCTAGGGATGCTCAGTTACAATCATATAGTTAACTGAAAAATAAATATAAACCATAATCTGATCGTAATTGTTTGTTCTTACAAATAATACCTGAAGAAATCGGTATACACAAAATAGGACGGATTAAATGGACCGAGTCAATCAGGAAGGAACCAACCCACATTTTCGAAAAAATTGAGTTAAGAATGCTTTTGAGTTCCTCTAGTTGTACTTTTCTCCTGCTAAAAACTCAAAGTCGAATAAGAAGAATTTGGTTTGTTTAGAGAGGAGTAAAAGTTCCTTTTTTACATTAAGCTTTATGCAGGAATAAAACTTTAAACCTCTTTTTCTCAGTTCAAACTCAATGTGAGTTGATTCCTTTCTGATGAACTCGGTGCAAATGAAGATGATCCAATAAATAATTCCTCATAATCGTGATGTATACTCAGTACAATAAGTATCCAAGTTTTGTATTAAAATTTACCTCCTTTCATTCGTACAAAATACAAATCACACAGGTTAAAAGTACATTTGGTAAAATTTTCAAATCTGGTATATTTTGCAAAAAACACACACCATATAAAATTTTGCGAATCTGAAGCAGTGGTCTAACCAATAATCTCGAATAGAGGATGAGGATTGACGTTTTTATGGCGGTCATTACGTTAACACCAACGTGTCAACTGGAGGTACAAATTGACACTGCACGCTAGGTAATCAGGTGACGTCATAAATTTCCGGTCAGCCGGATGATCACCGGCCCTGTTACTTTGTGTAGTCTACATCGTATAATGCGGTCTAAAAGCATGACAAATTCCACGAAAAATGCATCTGGAATTCTTAATTCAGGTTCCAGTCTCAGCCCGCATCCTCAACAATAATTAACAACTATTTGTGTGTTTCACATATTTTGGGATGCAATGGTATGATATTAAAAATCGAGTGTTAAAATAGGAACAGGCAACTTTCTGACGTCAATTATTTTCAAAATTTCTCTGATTTTTCGAATAAAACGTAATGTGCGTCTTCCCCAAAATTTTTGGTTTGGATGAGTCTAAGAGATTACTGATATCCTCTACTTAATAAGTAATTCGGGACAATATTTTCTGTACCATATTAGCATATTTATTTTTGCCGTTTTTGTTTGATGATTTCAATCTAAGTTACAACAATGAATTCACGCATCTCTATTCGTTGCGTCGGAGATTTGCTGACAGAGTTTATTTTTTGAAGAGAGGCTGAAAAACATAAACACACAAACTTCTGTAAAATTTTTCTTTGCCCCTGAAAGTATATTTTCTGCAAAGAACAGAAATATTTGGAATTACATATTATCTTAAATAGAGAAAATAGGATGAAAAAGTGGAAGTTAAAACTGAAATTGAGATGCTTGGCACTGTAAATTCGCCGTCAATATGGTGTTACAATGCAGATTATGATATTTCACCTTTAAGTAATATCCTGTGTTCAAGGAGAACATTTTGGAGAAAGACTGCACCAAAATTAATCAGGCAATACCCTACACCTCCTTCTTGAGTCCTCAGAAAAGGGGGCTGAATTACTGACTCGGTGCCAGTGTAGTCCAAAAAATTCATTTTCATTCATAAATCGAAATATAGCAAGGTTTACAAGAGTCAATGGCCACGCGCCACAACAAGTGCCGAACGGAAACCGGTTTTTTAGCATCTTATTAGAGTAAATACTCGTAGTGGCGCTTTGTAAAAAAATCATCAAGAATCAATTGATCTGCGAATCATGACATAGAGAGGCTTTCGTTAAGCTATTAAATAGATTCAGATTGCCGCTTTGCACTTCATCTGAGCATTAAAATCCGATCCAACATCAGCCGCTCGGGGCACTCGGCCAGACAGTGCCACTTTTTTGGGCTGCCGATTTTAGGGCAAGATCAAACCCGACCTTAAAAAGTTTGAAAAAATTCGCACTCCGGTTAATTATAGTAGGTTAATTAGTCAACCTACCCATTGAGTCTTAAAATGAACCGAGAAAACCGGAATAAGGACTATAAATTTAAATATTTCTGCGTTTCTGTTGTACAATTAAAGGTCAATATCACATCCTCTCGCTTTGGTACGTGCAGACCTCATAGTTCTCCTGCAAAGTCGGGTTTCTTGGCAATTTTGCAAGCATCAATAAATTAAAGAATATTTGTTTTAAGACGGTTTGCTGATGAAGCAATCGTTTTGATACTAATGTGCGAGAAGACGGTGGCCTTGTGCCACGATTTATCGATGTCTTTAAACTAATTTGAGCTCAGCGGCGCATGTCAACAAGCGCCATCGCGGTGAGTGTGTGTTTCAGGGATAATAGGTGTGTGTTTGTCCCAGAAAGATCCCAATATATACTTTTTACTCATATTATACTGTAGGTATGTAGAAATAAAAGATTGACAACCGTCAACTTTAGATATTTCATGAGCAAGTTTAGGACTAAACTTGAGAGTGCAGTTCAAATTCCATTCAATTTTTCTTTGAGACGACACTAGTAACATCTTAGGAAGAAGCTGTATCTAATTGAGCCTTAAAAAAACTAAGCATGATTCAATGCCTCCAAAAATTTTTCTGAATAAATAAACCTAACAGAGATACATTAATATTAAAAAAAGTCAATAATCAAATAAACAGTATCAAAAATCTAAAATTATTTTGCCGCAGACGGAGACTTTAACGCAAGGCAGGAAAGTTATGCATTTGCGAATTCTTTAAAAATGCATTTCATTGTCATCGAAAATAAACATGTAGAGAAAGACATGGGTTGTTCTCGATGAGGTCGAGGGG